TAGTCTATAAAAATAATAATTCTTTATCCAGCTACCCTTCACACTGTCATCCTTTCCCCCTTTACCTGTTTAATAAGAAGTTTGCATATACTGTTTCTCCTCATATTCTGAATCACACCATAACCCTTTACAATAAGGCTACTTTCCGCAGTGCTTTAAATTTATTTTTTTTTTAGTATTCCCAGTGACATGCTTAATCCAGTATTTTAATTTATGTTTTAATCCCACTTAGCAACATTTGTAACAATTGACTAGTCTTTGATTCCTGATTTTTCCCTTCTAGGACCTCAATGTATTTTTCTCTTACCTTTCCAATCATTGTCAGTCTCATTTGCTAACTCAGCCTCTGTTCACTTTTGGTTCTTAACTTCATTATCTTTGTTCTTCATGTTCTCATTCACTTTAACTGTCAAGTTTATGTTTCAGATTCCTATCTCTAATCCTGTCCTCTCCTGTAAGATCCAGACCTATAATTCCCATTCATTCTAAATGTTGCCAAATGATTGTCTCACATTTTTGAGACTTGACTTGACATTCCTAGAAACAAACTCCCATTATCTTCCCTCCCAAAACTTCAACAAGTATTTACTGAGCATTAACTGTATAACATATAGGAAAACAGTGGTCAGTGGAATAGATAAGGTACCCATAAAGCAAGAAATTTAATAGGCAAGTAACAAACAATATAATTACAGAATATGGTAAGTAGTGGTTGTGCTGGGATGGTAGGAGAGATCAACTTAGGTAGGTTTGTCAGGGAATACATCTCTGAGGAGTTAATACCTAAATTGAGTTCTTAAGAATGCGAAAGATTCAGCTATAGGAAGAAAGAAGGAGAAAGAGCATTTTATGCAGAGGGAATACCAAACATCAAGGCCCCAGGTGAAGACATTGGGATGTTCTAAGGGGCTAACATCACTGTAGATGATGAAGGTAAGAGTGAACTAAGGAAAGGGGGGATTGATAGGTCACATATTGTCTTTAGATCATAAAAAGGAGTTTGAGTTTAATTTTAATTTCAGTGAGAAACCATTGAAATGTTTTAAGCAGGCTGTGACAAAATCATATTTCCATTTCTAAAATATTCCTCTGGTAACTCTATGGTGAACCCTGGTTGGGGGTGGGGGTGGGGTGGAATAGAGAGATCCGGTTGTAAATTCTTAACATTATTCTAGGTGTGAGATGATGGTGGTTTGAACCTGAAGGTAGACTAGAGATGTGATAGAAATGGACAGACACAAGATATGATTTGGAGCCTTGAACTGAAAGAACCTTATCATAGGGTGAAGCCTAAAAGAAAAGTTGGAGTTTTTCAGAGAAAGGATTAGCATGTGTTTCAAGCTGAGAGAACATGTTCAAAGGGTAAGAAACCACAGAGGAAATGGATGTTTGAGGACCTGAAAGAAGCTGAGCATCCTTGGAGTCTAAAGAGGAAGAGTGGCAAAGGATGAGGTAGAAGATAATACCCTTAAGCCAAATCATACAGGACCATGTTAAAACATTTAAAGTCTATCTATGTCTGGGCTAAATCCTGGGAGTAGATGAGTTACCCAGGGAGAATGTGTAGAATGAAAAGAATATGATTCTAAAGTCAACACCTGAGGAACATTAGCATTTAAAAGGAGTTGATCAAGGAGACTGAGAAGAAACAAAAGAAAAATTTGGAGCAAGAGTAACCAATAAAGCCAAAGGGCAAAGGTTTTTAAGAAGTTAGTGGTCAGCACTTCAGATGATTCTCTGGGAGATTAAAAAAGAAAAGACTTGAAGAAATAGCTTTTATTGGTCATTGATAAACTTGGTGAGAATGAGTGGTATAGCTACAGGTTGAAAACTAGATTATTGTGGGTTAAATAAATTGTGAGGTAAGGAAATTTAGACAGTGCATATACACAGCTAGATGGGCTTTGAGAGAGTGGTGGTTAGAGTTTTTGGTGAAATGTTTTGTTTTAGTTTTTATTTTTAAAATTTATTTTACTGTTGAGAATACTACGGATGTCCCCCATTGTCTCCCCTTTACCCCCCTCCCCCCATTTCCCACCTTTCCCCAGTTCAAAGCTTTCCTTTTTTAGAGCAGTTTTAGGTTCAAAGCAAAACTGTGGGGAAGGTACAGAGATTTCCCATATACCCCCTGCTCCCACAGTAGTATGCATAGCCTCCCCTATTATCAATATCCTCCACCAGAGTGGTAGGTACATTTGTTACAGTTGATCAACCTATATTGATATAACATTGTGGCCCAAAGTCTGTACTTCACTCTTGGTGTACATTTTATGGGTCTTGACAAATGTATAATGACTTGTGTCCATCATTGTTGTATCATAGTATTTTCACTGCTTTAAAAATCCTCTGTGCTCCACCTATTCATCCCTCATCCCTCCCCTCTTCTCCTACCACCTGGCAACAACAGATATTTTTACTGTCTCCATAGTTTTGCCTTTTCCAGAATGTCATATAGTTGAAATTATACAGTGTATGTAGCCTTTTCACTTTGGTTTCTTTTACTTAATAACAAGCATTTAAAATTCCTCCATGCCTTTTCGTAGCTTGCAAGCTCATTTCCTTTTTTTTAAAATTTTAATTTTTGATTTATTTTAGAGAGAGGAAAGGAGAGGGAGAGAGAGATAGAAACATCAATGATGAGAGAGAATCATTGATCAGCTGCCTCCTGCAGGTCCCCTACTGGAGATCTGGCATGCAACCCGGGCATGTGTTCTGACAGGGAATCGAACTGTGACCTCCTGAGTCAACACTCAACCACTGAGCACACTGGCTGGGCAAGCTCATTTCCTTTTGGCGCTGAATAATATTCTGGTGTCTGGGTTTACCACAATTTACCCATTCACCCACTGAAAGACATCTTGGCAGCTTTCAAGTTTTGGCAATTATGAATAGAGACATTAAAAACATTTGTTTGTAGGTTTTTGTTGTAGACATAAGTGTTCAACTCCTTTGGGCCAGTACCAGGGAGTTTTTGGTGGGATCTGTAGGTGTTTTTGTTCTTAAATATATGATACACATATAAATACTGTTTGAAAGAGAGATTAAAAGGTAAAGAAAGAGGAGGTGGGTTGGTATGAATCCTCTATACCAGTAATTTTCAACCTTTTTCATCTCATGGCACACATAACTCATTACTAAAATTCTGTGGCACACCAAAAAATATATTTTTATTTTTGCTGATCTGACAAAAAATAGGTATAATTTTGATTGATTTACAAAAAAAAAAAAAAAAAGAAATTACCCACCCCTTTTTGCTCCAAAGAGACTTTAAAAATCCAGGTGCCTATACTTATATATAAAGATTTCTGGTACCAAAAATTAACCAATCAGATGCAACCTTACTATGCAGAGTGACCAATAAGATGCAGCTCTATTATATGACCTATATATTTATGGTTCACGATGGCATTCACACCTGACAGCTATTGTTGTGTTGGCTGTTGTCATTTTTGTATTTGACAATCTAAGGGAAAAGAGGTCGGTGCCCCTGACTGATCAGGTATTGCATGTTTTAAAAATTCTTGTGGCAGACCTGTTGTAAATGGCTGCTCTATACTATATCTTACCTTCCTTGCTATCATGTAGTATTTCAAGCCAGATACTTCAAGCCTTTGTCCTATTTGCACGTGCTCTTCAAATCTTAATGTTTATCACAGAAATGTTGTTTGGATATCGTTTCTCCTCCATACTATGTTGCTTTTATTAGGTTGGCACTGTCTTTATAGGGCTGTTGATACAACCTCATCCCCATTCTGGTTATTTAAAAAAGAAAAAAAGTATGATCATATTACTACTTTAATTAGTATTTGTCATTGTGTGGCTCTTCCCACTGTTAACTTCTTGTCAGCATCCCCTCCTCCCATTCTCCCTCTCCCCTATCGTAGCGCCATATTGCCTTTCAGCTCTGATCCATAAATGTGCCCTGCTCTTACTAACCCATTTTCTTTTAATAAAGGTTTTCTTTACCTGAAAGCCATCCTCCTACCTTTGCCTCTCTGGCAAATTCCTATTTTAGATCGACCTCAAAGTCATCTGTTATAATGTAACTGGGGCAGAGTAAGTCATTTTTTTCAGTATCCACAACAGTGTCTTCATACTTACGTTGTAAATTCATTTCTTTATTTTAGTGATTATTTGTCATGTCTGTCTTCACTTGGACTGTTGGCTCCTCCAGATGGGAGACTCATTCATTTATGCATATATCCTAGATGCTTGGTGCAATATCTGTTGGTCATTAAATATTTGTTAGATGAATGACTGAAGTATAATCTTTAATGAAACTTTACATATTCCTAGCCTGTTGGAATTGGAAGTGATCATTTTAAAGATAAGTAGACTGAGGTCTAGAGAGGTGAAATGATTTCCTAAAGGTTATACACATAATAACTCAATTCTCCTTACTTCTGTCCTTATGCTGCAGTATGCCAGTGCTCTCTGCGGCAACTTCTGCTAGCTGTTCTCAGTCAGTATTGGTTGGGGAATATTTAAATTAAGAGAGAGCCAATGTGAGTACAATCACTGCTATGTATGATGCCATTTAATTTTTAGCTTATAGAATGTGACTCAAAGATTGGACAAAAAATACATGTACTGTATGCAAAGCACCGTAAAATTTTGTTTGAATTCAGTAGATAGACTGTCTAGTCTTCCTTCAAGTAAATGAAATTATATAAAAGTCAGATTTGGTGTCCTTTTCTTCACTTTATCCCCTGAGTCCACTTAGAGGGGTCCCTGGATACAAAATATTGTGTGTGCATGTGTGTGTGTGTGTATGTGTGTGTGTGTGTGTGTTTATGTGCATTTGGTGGGGGGAGCGTAGATTGCACATGTTTTTTCAAAGGGTTCCTTGCTCCCCCCAAAAGTTAACACTGCTTCTGACTGACTTAAAGATATTTTGCTATTGTGATAAGTGATCTTTCTCTAAGCAGAGTACATTAAACATTCTTTTAGCTGCTACTTGAATTACATTTTTAATCTTTGCTACTTGCTTTCATTTTTAGGGTTTGTGTTTAGTGAATCAGAGGGATCTGCATTAGAACAGTTTGAAGGTGGCCCCTGTGCTGTTATTGCACCTGTTCAGGTAACATAGACTACTTTACCAACTCCTTAGAGGGACATCCTCATACTTTACTTTCTGTTTTCTAATATATATACTTTGTAATCATGAGGCATGATTAGTTACCTCTTATCTTTTGTTCATGTAAATTGCTGTAGATATCCAAAATATAAGTAAATTCTGGAGAGACAGACAACAGTGTGGTGATTACCAGAGGGGAAGGGGGTTGGGGAAGTTAGAAGAGGGTATAGGGCAGATAAATGGTGAGGGAAGGAGACTTGACTTAGAGTGGTGAACATACATATGGTATAATTTTATTAACCAGTGTCACCCCAGTAAATTCAATAAACAAGTAAAAAAAAAAAAAATGAATTCAGAACATGAGTAGGTTACATAGCAATAGCCTTTTGACTGTATTTTCAAGAAAACAGTAAGTGTTCCCTGCTTTTCAGAAAATGAGAAACTATTGATCATGTCATCTTTCTAATAAAATGATCATTTTACTACAGATAAATACATTATAGCAATGGTGCTATTTTCATTTGATCTCTTTATAAGAATGATATATCTAAAAAGTTGAATATGACAATATTTTCATGGCATGATTTGGCAGGTTATACTATTTTAAGCTTAGCTTTGGATTTTAAAATAAAATTAATAGCAAGTGATTTCAAACAGAATTCCCAAAATAAAAAAGATTTTTTTATCTTTATTTTTTATTTTATTAAACCCCATAAAACATAGGGTTAATCTGAATATATGTATTTGATTTTGAATCTTGCTGTGTTACATTGTTGGAATTTCAAAGGCTGATTTGTTATAAACTGTTACATTGTTAAAACCAAAAGTTGAATTTTTAGTTTACTGTTACACTTAGGTCTGAACAGCAGTGTAACTTCAAAACTGTTACAAAAGAAGCTTGAATTTACTGTTTATGTTTTAATAAGCAGGTTTTGAAAATAAATATTTAATATGGTATTTATTATTCATTGGGCATAAAGAATGCATTCCTGAACTGTTAGCTTCAAAGTAAATTTCTGAAAACTTACACTTTATACACTTACATTATTAAATTAAAAATGCATTCTCTAAAGGAGAGGAAAAAACTTCATGGCTGATTCCAAAATATATTCTTTATAGGTCATTATTTTATTTCTTTAAAGAGTTGATATATATATTTTTTGCATTAGTAGAATTGTTAAGAAAAATTTGAACTTTGGGAGTTACTGAATATAAAGAATAAAATGTAACCATAAATTCATTATTAGAGCAATTATGTTGAATAACTGGGGCAGATTTTGGTTGCTAGAGGGAATCTTATTATCTGAATTTGAAGATTCCTTGTCTTCTCATTTGCAAGTAGGTTATATTAACACTGTCCCTCTTGGGCCATTAATAGTACCCTTAAGTCTTTTCTTATTGTAAGTCTATGGATTTAGGTAGATTCAAAGTATACTACAGGAGTTTTGTGTTTTATAAAATTCATTACATTTCCAAAATGGCAATTATTTTTTCAAGTGGGGTTGCTATGTATCAAGAGATAATTGTGATGTTCAAAATCCTGATGTATCTTTGAGATAGTAATTTAGCTTCATAGCCACATAAATCTTTTCAGTCATGGAGGAATTTTGTTTATATTGTAATTTCAAGTAAAAGTCAAAACTAAATCATTAAGAGTAATGAAGGGAAATGAGCAAATCCAGGTATTAAAACTTTTAAATTATAAAAATTAAAACATGCACTATTGCTAGAAGAATAGTCGTACTATAGATAATACAGTGGTAGACCACATCACATATAACAGTTTACGGAGACTTTATCACATCCATGATAAAGAAGGAACTACACATCAATGCTGGAATAAGTTTACTAAATGTCACTGCTATGACTGGCAGTTTGAGAGGAAAAATGAATTTAGATAATCTCATATCATGTACCAAATATATTCTTGATTATAATATTAAACTACAGAAAAACTAAAAATAATATAGTCAACCATTTAAAAGAAGTGTGAGTTTCTAAGTCAGAAAAAATATTTGCAGTGAATATTAACTATAAGAGGATGTTGTCTTTCTTATACAAAAAATTTGAACAAACTGGCTATAAAACACTAAGACCCCAGAGGTGAAATGAGTATGTATATGTAGTCATAACAGGTGAAATGGTGCCAGACAGCCAAAGAATCAAGATGTTCAACCTCAGTAGGAATCCAAGAAAGTACAAATAAAACTATAACTAGTGTCTATTGTTTACTCCTCCTAATCTTTAAATAGAAAATAATTGCCAGTTCATATAAGGTAGGATGATGCTGGCATACTCATATATCGCTATGTAGTACAAATTTGTACTTTGATTTTGGAAGGAATTTTACATTATATTTGGAACCATGATAATGCAGATTTTCTTATACAATAATTGGTCTTCTGTGAATCTTTCCTAAAGAAAGAATCTTTAATATGGGAAATGTTGCATTTAAGAAGTAGCTTTTATATTTATAGTAGCAAAAAAATTACAAACAACCTAATGTACAGTAATGTGGTTTATACATGAAATAATGTTTAATAATGTTAATAATGTTAATTTTGATAGCTTGATAGAAGTTTAGTGAATGAGAATTATAGTTATGAATTCTGTGGGAAAACATTAAAATGGAAAATAATCACATACCCATTGTGCTTCTCACTTGTAATAAAATTTAAAATAGGTATGAAAGACTAGAAAAAAATATATCAAAATGCTAAGTAGTGAAATAATGGGTGTCTCACTTTTCCAAAATTTTATAATGTAGTTATAGTACTCAATTTTATGGTTCTCGTCATTTTGGGTAAAAACCAAAGCACTTGATTGTAGTGTTTGTAGGTTTTATTTCTGTGAGAATATTATGAAATATTAGGTTTTTGTTAAAATATTTTGAAGTAATTGCTTATTAGGTGCCAGGTACTGTGCTGCGTGCATTACATAGGTTATCTCATATAATCCTCACTGCAACCTTTTAAAGTTTGTGCTATTATTATTTTTAGCTAGTATGATAGTGGAACTAGGATTTAAACCTAGGTCTGACTAAAAGCAGTTCTCTTATTATATACTACTGCTTTCAAACACATATGAGTCAGGACCACTATAGTAACCTCTTTTTCTTAAATCTGCTCCATAGAGATTCAGATACAATAGATGGAGCAAGAATGTGCATTTTAGATAAGACCAGGATCCAAATAGCCCTTGAACTACAGTTTAAGAAGGAAACACTGTACTACACTGAACTGCTTTCTATTAAATCATCAATGTAACATAATTGGCTCACATAAGGAAAGGTTAGAAGTCACTTCTTTTCCTTTTAAATCTTAACAGCTGATGTAGTTAAACAGGAAGTTAGAAACGTCTTATAATAAAGTGAAAACCCTTGCAGTGGAAGTCTTGTATCACAAATCAGAGCTAATAGAGCAGAACCACTTTTGTATTTAGATTTTTCCTCCAAGGAATCAGAGAAATGTGTACTTGTTTTTGTTTTATAGGGCCTTCACTTTACATTTCTTTAATTTCCAGTTATGTGTCTTATTTTGAGTAAATTCTTATATTTACCAGAAAATAAGTATTATGAAAGAAGAAGAATTCTATGGATATAGAATTAAGTTTATAATAGTATATTCTGAATAAATAACTATGCCCAATTACTGTTGAACATTAAGAGGAGCCATTTGAAATTTTTATAGCTATATTCAAAAGATTAGAAAGGAGGTACAAATTAGTTTTTTTCTGTTTTGAAATAGAATGATTAAAGTATATTTGTAATGCATGCTAATAATTATTGCTTTACTTGTATAAAGGCATTTCTTTTGAAGAAGCTCCTGTTTTCTTCTGAGAAGTCGTCTTGGAGGGATTGCCCAGGTACGATAGCTGCCTCGCAAACGTTTATTCCATCCTCTGTTTTACAGGTGATCTACGCAGCATTAATTGGTAATCATTTAGTTAAAATTATCCTAAAAAGTAAACTATCAATGGGATATTTTTTCCTGAGGTTTTTTTTAATGTTTCAGAAAGATTCATGGACAGAGACTCTAAATTTTTAAGTACATATATTTCCAAATTTGGTTTTCCCAAGACATATAAGACAGGATAATAAAACTAAGGGAAAAAGCTTTGGCCTCTTGCTAAAACAAAGGTACATTACCTTAAACTTTTCAATTATAGCATACCATAAGGAATAGTTATTTATGTATGCTTGTTTTGTCTTTTTTGGCTTTGAGCAAGAACTCAGAGTTATCTTTGTATTTTTGCATATTTTAATATAATGTCTTATACAATGCAAATAAATTGCAAGTAATTCTGAATTAAGTTGCAAATGAAGCTGCCATAGCTTCTGCAATATGATTAGGTCAGAGAGCTGTATGGTACTACCTGATAATAAAAAAATTTACATTCTGCTTGACAGTTTATAAAACTCTTTACTTCACTTATACAGTTTTATGTGCATCTCACAATAACTTCTAGAAGGAGGTATATTATAATCCCAGTTAGTATATAAGGGGAAAACAACTTCCATTCCAAACCACGCACATAGAATCTACTAGTGATTTTGAATTTAAGAGTTAAAGTGTCACTGTCATGTCTTTTTTATTCATAGTGGGAATACAAAATAAATTTTATTAGAGAAGAGGCTATTCAAGAGATACTATTAACATGAATGTTTTATTAATTATATTTCTTGCACAGAGATATATCCACATTTATAAAAAATTTATATTGCATTGTCATTAATGTCATAAATGCTGTGAAGATTATAAAGTGAATGGCACAGTTCCTGCCTTTAAAGAACTTAAAATCTATTAGGAGAGATAGAAACCTCCCTCCAGCATAAAATTTTGCATAGGATATGTATACATCTTATCCCCTTTGAAAGTTTCAGAACGCAAAACTACTTTTGGAGAGTAATACTTCTCAAAAGGGGAAGGTGGCTAAGGTTCAGGAAGAAATTGAGCATTTGTGCTCTTCTATAAAAATCTATAGTTCAAATCACTGCAATGCAGTATCAGTAGATTCTGTATTATGCAGGGTAACCACAATGGACCCTGCTAATGGGATGGATTGTGGTATTGTTTGTGCTGAGGATATGTTACCTCGTTATCCTTGCCCTCTGGGACAGGGGGAGCAAAGACGTTAGATTAATTCAGAAATGAGGGAAAAGTAAAGGTTTCAGCAGGTCTTGACTTTGTGCCTGGCTCTACAATAAAGGAAACCTTCATGGCTTAAAAGTTTCATTTGCATCTAAGAAAGAGGAGATGAGCATCAGGGAGCAATTTTTCCTCCTAATGTTTAATTCTGCATTTTTTAGGATTCTTTTTCTCAGTAATGGAAATATTTAGTAATGGTGACATTGTAACCCTCAAGCACATTATTTTTCTAAAATATAATTTCAGATCAGTTGTTCATGGATTTTCCCCCCACTTAAAATGCTTGATTTTCATCATTAAATTAAAACATTCTTAAAATTGTTATTCATGACTGTTTTTTTGTTTTTTTTTCCGAAAGAAAACCATTATAACTTATACTTTGGTTATTTTTAGAGGAAGAGCGGAAGGAACTCCTTTGTCACACCTTATGTGATATTTTAGAAAGTGCCTGTTGTGACAATTCTGGATCATACTGCTTGGTTTCATGGTTAAGAGGAAAGACAGCCGACGAAACTGCTAGTATTTCTGGGAGTCCTGCAGAGTCTAGTTGCCAAGTGGAACATTCTTCTTGTAAGATACATTTTTTTCTCTAATTTATTATGCCTTTGTTTTAATAAAACTAATGAAAAATTTAAAGAAAAAGAATTAAAAATTTCATAACATATTTCTTTTTTGGCCTAAGCTTAATTCATGAGCCTTAGTATTTTTTATTTCCCTTTTGACTATTTTAATTACTAGAGGATATTGCATTTGTTTATATTTGCTTTCATTTTTGAAAAAAGGAAATATATCTCTTAAACTTTTAAAAAATTCTAGTTAACCTCCTGTTTGAAGACATTCTCTTGTGAACTTTGAAACTCTCATTTAGAAAGTTTAAAGAACATATTTCTATATACTTTTATTTCAAATGCCTTAACATTTACTTTGGTATTGGGAAAAAAAAGGCTTTTTTTTTTTTTACTTTAGAAAAAATTTTTTTTTCTATTTTGTTCATCAATTTATTTTGTTCTTTAGATTCTACATATAAGTGAGATCATGTGATATTTGTCTTTCTCTCCCTGGCTTATTTCACTTAGCATAATATTCTCCTGAAAATGTTTTTAATTGATTCTTAGAGCAAAGATGGGAACAAATTTTTTCTTTACCTGTTGTTTCCATTCCTCCTGAACTTTTTGGATATTGTTAATATATATGAATTATTTTAAAGTAATTTTGAGTTTTAATTTTGCCTTCATGTAAGTTTTTTGTACTTTGAAGATTTTTCTTTAATTAAGTAACAGCTATTCTCATTATAAAAATAATATATTTTATAGTCTTTAGCCTTTGAAAATTCTTATGTAATTGGCATAAAAACTGCCAGAATGAACTAGTGGTACAGAAACTAGATAAAAAGAGTTGCTGTTCTGTTTTTCTTTTCACGAACTATCTTGCTTTAGCAGGTGGCTTTTGGTGATCGGTAGTTCCAAGGGCTTATATTGAATAAGTGACTTATTTTACCTGTAATGCATTCCATTAACTATCATCTCTGGAAATTATTTTTAAATAAATTAGACAACCAATTTCTAGAAAGTAAATTTTGATTGTCATATATATCTTACTTTCCTTATAGGACTGTCTATAATGCACTATTGCCTCCTTGAGCTAAAATGTGTCTGCGATGTCAGCGTTTTCTCTCCTACCTCTGCAGTTACAATGGCCAGTTCTAATAGCACATTTGCAAGGAAAAATTTAAAAAATTTTAAAGTTCAGTGATGTTTCTTTTTCAGGCCTTTCATCATAGCCTTTCAAAAAAATTTAGCATTTTAAGAGTTGATAATACAGCTGAAGGAAATCAGTGGAAAATATTCACAAGGATGATAGTAAAAAATGTCATTATGATTGGTTTTAAATATTTTCCAGGTTTTACTGAGTTGCATGTAAGCATGTTTAATAGTTTCATTAAGGTTATCAAAACTTTGACAATAATAGTTGAACTAATTAAAAGTTCTTTTACAGATTAGGTGCTTAAAGTCAGTCTATATTATAATATAAGAAAATAGCAAGATCTTTTTTTGTAACCTTTTTTTATTAGTATCTTAGTGTATACTGTGTACTTACTATGGACTATACTGTATATTCCATAGTGATAGGTTAAATGACCTGATAATACATTAACTTTGGTACTTCAGTAACTAATTTAGGTAGGCATACTATATTGAATTCCCCTTCAAAAATCATATTTTAGTAATTTTCCAATTTACTTTGCCTCATTTTAAAAGTGGACATGAATTAAACCAGATTTTAAATTTGTTTTTTTTATAATCGTATAAATTTGAAAAGTTTTGTTAACTAAAAATTTGAAAATTCTTATGTAATTGGCCTAAAAACTGCCAGAATGAACTAGGGATACAGAAACAGGTAAAAAGAGTTATTGTTCTGTTTTTCTTTTCTTAGATGTTGACAAATGAAATGAACTTATGTTAAAATTTTGATTCCGTGTAACAATCTATTTTACCTGTTCTTTCCTCTATTCCCAGCTATGTTCTTTTTCCTGTGTTTTATATTTTTCTACCATCCTGCCTGCTAAGCTTTTTATTTTGCTTGCCTTCTTTCTCTAAATTACTATCTTTGTGTCAAGTTTTGTAGTGTATGCCCAGTAAAATTATTTAGATAATCAGGCACAGAAAAATTAGTACAACTTGGAAAAGGTTGGGTAGAATTTTTATTTTATCCTGAAATTTTAACTGTGAACTATTTTCCCCATTGTTAATATTACATTCTGTACAAACATTAATTTCATTGGCTTGTGTGGTGTGTATAGTTTTGGCTTCTGGTAACCGCACACTTGTTTGCAGTAGTGAGTACTCAGGTTCAATTTCAGTCTGTTTCCCACACAAATCAAAAGATTACTTAAGCCACTGGATTTTTAAAAATTTTAAAAAGTAGTTGGAAACATTTGAAAATTGATACTAGACTTTGAAAGGCTAGTGTAATGTGAATTTTAAATTGTAAAGAAAAAATTTAAAATTTTTAGTTCTTACGGAATTAGTTTTTCTAGTGAGAATTAATATTTGAAAGTACTAAGATTTGCTTTATCAATGTGTATAAACACATATGAAATTGCTCATTGTGATAAATTGGAGAAGGCATTTTGATTCATCATTAAGGACTTTATCTTTGTGGAGCCAGGACTCTCAGGGTTGAAATCTCAGCTTTGCTGTTTACCGCTGTGTGTACTTGAGAGGATTCTCTGTGCCCCAGTTTCCTCTTCTGTGAAATGAGGACGAATAGGGCTGTTATGAGGGTTAAGTGAGGTGAGACCTGTGGAGCATTTGGAAAGGGGCCTGGCACTTAGAAAAGTGCTAAATACACATTAACTTTGATTTAAATGCTTTCTCTGATTTACTTTGATTTTTAAAAATTGATAATTATACTGTATTAATAAACATAATCTAAAAAAGTTACCAAAAACTTCTCAACAGTAATGTGGGAACAAACTTAAAGCTGTCGTTGAACCTGTATAGTTTCAAAGTGCTATGCCTTTTTATACACATTTGTTTAATAATTATACATTAAATGTAAAGATTTTATATTATAAAGAGGAAGATTAGCTAAGATGATTTTACAGGATCTATGGATTGAAAGATTATATGAAAGTGCAGGACACATTATAATGATGTGTGAAGCACTATGCTTGCCAATAATTTCTCATATTTTATAAGCTACCCTAGGATAATTGAATTGAAAAGAAGTGTATTATTTAATCACCCTTCTACATTCTCAGTATTATATCCATTTTGGTTATAATCATGGTAACTAAGGTGTTGAAATAAAAGTTTATATTATAGTAAAGTTGAAAATAAACTGAGGATTTTAAGTGAGTAAGGAAAGAGGGAAATTTTTGATTGCTTGAAAGTATTTACAGCCTGCTGTGTGTATCTTGTGTCATTTATTTGCCATGTGTAGTGCTGAAAAGTGTCTTTTATGTATAGCTGCCTTGGCTGTCGAAGAGCTTGGCTTTGAGCGATTTCATGCATTAATTCAGTAAGTAACATTGGAACATTTAAAATACTTACCTTGTGGACACATTGTCATTTTAAATCTGTTTATACTGGGGAAAGGTACTTAGATTTATATGCCTGAGGATTAATTTGTTTTCAAATTAAAAAATAATTTGTAAATGTGTACTTAAATTATTCAGATTCCTAAATTAACTATCAAAATAAACTTTTTATAACATTAAAAGCTTTTTCATCATTACAATGAAAAATAATTTTAGCTTAATGTTTCTCTGTCCTGAGTATAAAGGTTTGTAATAGAATAAATATTTGTATTATTATTTGTTTGTCAAAATATGCTTTCTACAATTTTCATTCAAAGGTCCATGTTTTCGTTAGAGCATTTAAACTTTTTATTACAAAATAAAAGGTAAGCATAGCTATGGTGATAGGATTATAAGTGGCATTGGATTTGAAATATAACATTAATTTCTTTTAAAAGGAGTCACAAATGTACAAAAGTCAAGTTTTGTTTGTTCTTAAACTCATTTTAGAAGACAGTTTACCTATGAGATGAAGAGATTCCCTACCATACGCATTCTGTTGTAATGGGATATATTATATATAGTGACAGTTATCAGCAATAGCTTTTGCTTTTAATGGCTAAATTTGTATTTGAAAATTTGAGACACTTAAAAAAAATCTCCTGTTTGTATATATACATCTTAATGTATAAGACAATTTAACAGTTTCCCCATTTATGGGTGTATTAAACCTTATGGTGATACTAATACTTAATTCTTTTCACTCCCTCTCCCCTCCCCAGGAAAAGATCATTTAGAAATTTATCTGAATTAAAAGATGCTGTCTTGGACCAGTATTCAATGTGGGGAAACAAATTTGGAGTATTGCTTTTTCTGTATTCTGTGTTACTGACAAAGGTTTGTTTAAGAAGATGCTTCTCCTGGCTTTTATTAGTTTGAGTTTAATAGTATAGTTTTCTTCTTCTTTTTTAAAAAAATTATTTGTTTATTTATTTAAATTTATCTTTATTGTTGAAAGTATTACAGATGTCCCCCTTCCCCCCCACTGACCTCCTCCTCCCCTCTCCTGTCCCCTCCCCAGGCCTTCACCGAACGATTGTCTGTGTCCATGGGTTATGCATATAAGTTCTTTGGTTAATCTCTTCCCCCCAAAACACCCCCTTCCCTCTAAGAATCATCTGTCTGTTCCATGCTTCCATGACTCTGGATCTATTTTGTTTATTAGTTTATTTTGTTCATTTGATTCCACATATAAATTAGATCATGTGATATTTGTCTTTCTCTAACTGGCTTATTTCACTTAGCATAATAATCTCCTGGTCCCTCCACATTGTCTCAAAGGATAATAGTTCCTTCTTTTTTATAGCTGCATAGTATTCCATGGTGTAAATGTCCCCACAGCTTTTTTATCCACTCATCTACTGATGGGCACTTGGGCTGTTTCCAGATCTTAGCTATTGTAAATTGCGCTGCTATGAACATACGGGTGCATATATTCTTTCTGATTGTTGTTTCGGGCTTCTTAGGTTATATTCCTAGACGTGGAATCACTGGGTCAAACGGCAGTTCCATTTTTAAATTTTTGAGGGAGCTCCACACTGTTTTCCATATTGGTTGTACTAGTCTGCATTCCCACCATAGTATATTTTTCCTGCTATGAAGAAAAAATGTATTCTTGATGCTGTTTCTAAATTTTAGAATAAAAATATCTTATGCTGATAATAATTCTCTTTTGTCACCACCTATTTGATACTTAACCACTTTGAGGTTTATTTTCACCCTGCTCTTCTGGACTTCAGAGGTTATCAATAATGCGCTAATTATGAAATACACGCAGTTCTTCTGAATTTTGTTTTTTTTGCTCTTAGCAATGTCTGGCAATTGACACCTTAATCCTTCTGGAAGCTCTTTCTAACCCCTACTCCCTTTCTTATCTGATAAGTCATTGCACTAAGTTCTCTTTCTATAATGTCTCATAATTACTTTTTTGTTTATATCTTTCTTTCCATCTTTATCAAATATCTTTTTGTTCTTTCTCTTCTCCACTAAACTTTCATATTCCAGAAATTTCAGTCCCTGGGTTTTGTTTCTGTATTCTGCTTCTTTTATGGGTATTTTAGTCTCTCAATTTACCTTTATGTGTTTAATTCCAATATGTACAGTACCAGCCCTGCCCTTTTCCCCCAAGTGCCAATCTCATATCTTTAGTAGCTTGTTAACCTTAATTATTCTACTAGATTTACCATGCTAAAATCAAACTTCTTTCATTTGACAAAGGTTTATTGACTCTATATTAGGTGCTGGGCCAATGTGGGATATAATTGTATTTAATGGTTCCTCTTCAGTGTTGTAAAAACAGTTGACACATTAATGATTACCTCCGTTATGGCATCGTTTTTTGGTGTTTCTTTGTTGCGTGCACAAAGCAGAAGGGAAAGTAGTAAAGGTATGCCTAAGTTTATTTGGTGAAATCAATGTGGGACCTTATATAGTAGGGATCATTCGATGGAAGAGGAAAACTTTTCTAGACAGAAAAGCTGTGGGAAGATTTTCCAAGCAGTGGGAAGAGCAAGTATAAAGGTATAATCAATTGAGGGTATAACACATGTCTGGGGAACCATAAGATGTTCCATATTACTGCAGCATAAGCCACCAGAACGGCAGATGTGGAAGATGAGACTGGGTAGTTATATAAATAAGGTTTAGAGTATGAAGGTCCTTGTATATTATGCAAAAATACTTTAGTTTCATGTGGTCAAAATTAGAATGAAATAAGATTTTTCAACAGGGGAGTAGCACGATCTTTTTGTTAATAAAAGTTTCCTTAAATTGGGATAAGAGTTATACTGGAGGGAGTTGGTGTGTGGAGTATAAGTCTAGAGTCAGAAAAATTAGAAAAGTGATTATGGAAGTAAGTGAACCTAAGCTAAGGCGGTGACTGTGGAAATGGAAAAGAAAGGGAGCATGTTTAGAAGCATGTTTTAAATTTAGAAATTTAAAAACAGTTAATAGGATGTTTAAGTGAAAGGACCAAAAGTATTTGGTAGTTGGTTAGAGGTGAATACCAGTGGTGGAGGTATTTAAGTGACTGGTTTCTTACGATCCTCTTAACTTTCATTCTGCCAGTTTTTTATGTTCAGGACTTTGGATACCTCCTCTGTTTCTTGTCCTTTATAGCCAATAAACCATCATGTCTAGTTTTTCCTTGAGCCTGTCTTTGAAATGATGTCCTGTCTCTCCCCAGTGACTACATCACTTGTTTCTATTGTTCATTTTGGCTTTATCAGAGCCTGCTTTGTATTGTTTTCAAGGAAGGCAAGTGCAAGATCTCATACTTGTGTCCTCCTACATGTACTTCTGCAATCATTAAATACTTCAATCATTGATTAATCATCTCTTTAACCCTTAGAAGTTGCCTGAAATCTGATAGAACCAATGATATATTATCTTTGTCATTTTGGAGTTGTGCCTAGGTCTTCTTGTAGTGACCCAGTATCTAGACCTTTTGGGATTTGGATGCCCTTTTGGGGATTAAAAGTATCAGAAAATTGTTTTTTATGAAAATAAGAAACTTCTTGCTTTTTTAATTTATATTTTTGTCCATGCACATTTGAATTACCAGTATTTGTGAGGACACACAATCAGAAGCACACCTTCCATTTTCTTATGTGATTTTAAATTTCTACTCTATGAACACTTATGTGTGCATGTTTTTAGAAACAATAAGCTTTTTAAATGACCTAAGAAAATATATCAGATGCCTTAGCAGGTGTATTAGTTTTGAATTTAATTTAGCCTAAAGTTAAATGAATATTAACTTTGGATTAAATAATTTTCTCTTTCCTCCTCTTGAAACTTAAACATCTCTCTATCCACTTAACCAACATTAGATCTGTTACCTGTATTCTTTATATAGCACCCACAAAAGAAAATAAAAAGATATTCCTGGAGAAACTACTTCTTACCATTATCATCTCAAATGCATCCTTGATTCAAATCTGGTTAATTCTTTGGGAGAAAAGTTAAATAATTGTGTTTTATTAATTTATAGTATGAACTGGTCAATATTTAAGCTACTATAATTTTCATTTTTAGTTTTTAAAATAAGCCAAGAATATTTGTTTTCTTTAGGGCATTGAAAACATAAAAAACGAAATTGAAGATTCAACTGAGCCTTTGATAGATCCTGTGTATGGGCATGGCAGGTAATTAACTAAAATCTGTTATCTTAGAATAAAGTACTACAGAGTCAGAAAATTTTGCTTGTCTGTTTACAGCATAAAGTCTATGAATTGGAGCAGGCTCGTGCTTTATGCATTGCTTGCCTTATGTATGGAATGTTAATTTCCACTTTAGGTTTATGTATGCAGTGCATTTATTGTGGCACATATTTTGTTTCAAGATGGCAGGGGAGTATTGTAACAAATTCTGCTTTCTGTTCCATTTATGAAACTTAAATAGATGACATTTATTCATTTTTACTTAGCAATAGGTATATCCTTACCTCTTCATAAGGGCTTTCCTGCTTGGGTGAAAACATTTTTTTCTTATTTTTCTCTGTGAAACTACCCTTCCTCTCAAGCTTTTTTGTAGCTCTTTTTGTTAAAATAGATAAAACAGCTCTGACCGGTTTGGCTTAGTGGTTAGAGTGTCGGCCTGCAGGCTGAAGGGCCCCAGTTGCGGCCAACAGCATGTACATCAGTTGCAGGCTCGTCCCCAGCCCCGGTCGGGGTGTGTGTGGGAGGCAACTAGTTGATGTGTTGCTCTCACATCGATGTTTCTCTCTCTCTCTCTCTCTCTCTGTCCCCCTCCTCCCACCCTCCCACTCTCTCTGTAAAGCAATGGAAAAAATATCCTCTGGCGAGGATTCAAAAAAAAGATAAAACAGTGATTATTAACTCTTTAAAAAGTAAGTACTTTTCGCCCTGGCTGGTGGTGTTAAGTGGTTAGAATATCAGCCCTAGCACCAAAGCGTCTCAGGTTCGATTTCTGGTCAAGGGCAAGAACCTGGGTTGCAGGTTTGTTCCGCAGCCCTGATCAGGGCTCATGCAGGACACAACCCATCCATGTGTCTCTCTCACATGGATATTTCTCTTTCTGTTTCTTTTTCTCTTTCTCTCTCTCCTCCTCCCTCCCTCCCACTCTCTCTAAAACTCAATGGAAAAAATATCCTTGAGTGAGGATTAACAAAACAAAAAAATAAGTACTTTTCTTTATAACTTTCTACCTCTGAGGTTAAAATTCACGTATGTTCCATCAAGCACAAAATAATAACATTTATATATGTATTTTTAAAGGTGATTATAAATATTAAGTAAATTATCCACCCAAGTATCATTTTTTATTCATTCAAATATGGTATCTTAGATAAAGTTGTTAAATTTAAAGGAATAAATAGAACAATAGATACCATTGTGGTGATTCATTTGGTGATTCATTTAACAAGGCTGTTGTTCAGTTGAATGTATAAAATGAAAAATGTAAGGTTTTTCCCAACTTTGTTTCTTAAACAACATAATTTAATGTAAAAAGTGATTACTTTATCCCTTCCCATAGGGATCATTTTATTTGAAAATTTGTTTATTCATGTTTTAATTACTTTTTAATTTTTATTAATAGCCAAAGTTTAATTAACCTCCTATTGACGGGACATGCTGTTTCTAACGTATGGGATGGTGATAGAGAATGCTCAGGAATGAGTAAGTATATTCTTTGTGTATTTATCTCTTTTATGATTAATATTTCACTAGAATATAATTGGTTGTTGTTCATCTGCTTAATGGCCCTGCATTACTTAGAGCTTAAGGTAAGTGCTTTATAATAGAAGAATCCTTTACAGTTTTCAAGGCATCATAATGTGAAGAACATAGACTTTGAAGGCAAACTTGGACTCAAATTCCAAGTTACTTTACTTCTCAAGCCTTAAGTTTTCTCTAGTATAAAGTTGGGATTGCAGGACTATCTTTTTTAGAAAAAGTAAAATATAGATCTCTTTATATGTAGATTTTTATAAATCTGGAACACTTGCATTTTGCTTAAAATTAAGGAGAATTACTACAAGTATTATGATTTGAAACATTTGCTTTGAGAGTATAGTGGTTTTTCCTGTATTACTTTTAATGTACATCATTTCCTTTAAGATAGTGGGAAAATTTAATGTCATCTGAGAATTTTACCCTCTTTGCCATTACCTCCATTTCTGGTCTAAATTATTTCTTTCTTGTAGCTTCATATGTTGCCAGGGACATTGAAGTAACACATCTTTGGCCAGTCCATGCAGCTAAGGAGACCAGATACATACCTCTGAATAAAATGCCCTTCAGCTTATTGCTCAGTCAGTCTAAATTCATGTATTTACTCATTCAACTTATATTGAGTAAGTACTTGTGTACCTTCTGTTGAAGTATGTAGTATAAACAGGAAGTTCGTAATCCCTGTAGTTCATGGGGAAAATTCTTTCTTTCTTCTATAATTAGATTAAACTGTCACCAAATGTCAGAAGCAAATATTATGATTGAGAAAATAATAGTTACTGTTTTTTGGTGCGGTTTAAATGAGAGTCTTGATCTTATATTTGAATTTTTCTTAAATTTTAGAAATATGTATAGTTAATTAACAGGAACATGAAAGGATATAACATTAAGTAAAAAAATCAGTAAAAATTACATAATTTCAGAATTAAAAAGAACCTTTTGAGAATATTGTGCTAAGGAAATAAGTCAGATGGAAAAGTCAAGAGCCATATGATTTCACTCATGTGAGATATAAAACTGAAAGCAACACATGAACAAGACAAATAATCAAACAAAAAACCTCAGGCAGTGACAACAGTATCGTGGTTACCAGAGGGAAGGGCAGTGGGGGTAGGTAGTAAAGGGTAAAAGGGGTCAAATATATGGTGACAGAAGGAGATTTGACTTTGGGTGGTGAAAACACAGTGCAATATACAGATGATGTATTATAGAATTGTACACTTGCAACCTATATCATTTTATTAGCCAGTGTCACCCCCAAATAATACTAAAAAAAATTATATAATTTCAGAATTAAAAAGCACCTCAGCACAATCCAGCCCTTCAATTTACTGTTTAAGAAATTTAAGAACTACCCTCCCTCCCTACATTAGGTAATATATGGAAATTATTCGCTTCATGATGAGGTTAGAATGAGAACCTAGTTTTGCTAATTTCTGGTAAAAGTCAAAATTTAAACAGTAAAATTCGCAGACCAATTACACAAGTTATCTTGCTCAATTTTTTTGTAATTGAGCCCACCCTCTTCTTGAATCCTCATTCTGATTAATAGCTGAAGGCATTTCATCCTGCCAATAAAAGGTATGTGTCAGTCTCTCTTGAGTAATATGCATGTTTCTCCTCCCACTCACCCACGATGGCTTCTGCACATCTCCTCCTCTTCTCCCAGCAGTTTCTGTGCACTGAGGTATCTTATGTCACCTGAGATGATTAGGGAAGGAATATCTGGTTCCTGCTGAACTTGGATGAGGTAGCTCATCCCACTTGGCCTCTGTCCTTGCTGCCCTGTGTGCTGTGGCTCAGAACTCTTCCCACCAGGTCTTATGTTCCTTGCTCTGGCTCTTGGTACTAGTTATCATGGTCCTTCTCTCTGCACATTCTACAGATGCTCCTAGGCTCTTCTGTTTCCAGAGCCAGAATATTCTTTCTGTCTCCCTAGGTGTTTCCTCGCCCAGCCCCCCATAGGCTTTCTTTTCTGGCCATGTACTACCTTTATAGAATATTAGTCAATTATCAAGTTTTGGTTCTTGATATGTATAAATTCATCCTTTTCTGTTTATTAAAATACTAGCTTTCAAAGCTATTGTCTTGCCATGGATTTAACTTAAGAATAGTTTAAATATCAAAACTAAGCAATGACTTCGAAATAATTATTTTGGAAAAGAAGATAGCTAGGGTGTATTTCTTGCATTTTCCCCTAACCGTTAGGAATGTTGACTTGAAATTGAATTTGTTTTCAGTCACCAAAGTTAAAATAAAAATATATACATTCATTCAGCATTTATTGGATGTTTTTCTGCTCTGACAATATGAGAGAAGGTTGTAATTTGTGTAATATACAAAGAAAAATTATAATTAAAGAATTAGTAATATTAAAATCCTTAGGCAAGCCACTTCTCATGGTTTCAGTTTCGTTATTCATAAAATATGGAGGTTATACCTTCCTCAAAGGGATGTTGTAAAGATTAAGATCAAATTTCTAAAATGCTTCAACTTGCCATAAGAACTCAGCTTTCCCTCAAAAGCCTACATACCTAGTTTGGGGAAACAAGAACAAGCACACAAATAACTATAGTGCAAGGGAAAATGAGGAACATTGAAATAAAGTATTACAGAAGTTCAGAGATAGGAGAAAACTTTTCCTACTCTGTTTATGTTGGGGTATAGGAGAGACTTTAAGTAGGAGTTAACTTTTTTTTTTTAATCCTTGCACGAGGGTATTTTTTGCATTGATTTTCAGAGAGTGGAAGGGAGAGAGAGAGAAAGAAACATCGATATGAGAGAGACACATGGATTAATTGCCTCCCACACGCTCCCTGACTGGGGCCAGGGATTGAGCCTGCAACCAAGGTACATGCTCTTGACCAAAACCTGAGACCCTTTAGTAGGTGGGCCCATGCTCTAACCACTGAGCCAAATGGGCCAGGGCAGGAGTTAACATTTTAATGGGGCCAGATTGAATGAGCAAGAGGGTATTTTGGAAAAAATATAGGTTATGTTTGATTCTAATGTACAGTCAAGTTTGAGAACCAATGGTTAAGAGCATTGGATCTATGAAGGAGACTGGTAAGAAGAAACATTGTAACTGTAGTGTTGGGTAAGAACACAGAGGATTTTAAATACTAAGACGTTTTAACCTTTAGTTGGCAAGCACTAGGAAGAGAGTCATTGAAGACGTTTGAAAAGAGCAAACCACCAGACATAAAATATGAACATTAATCTGTCAGTTTGTAGAATGTATTGAATGGGATGACATGTCAAAGGCATGTAGTCTAGACAGGTAAGAGGTAATGAGATGAAAATGTGCATAGCAAAGAAGGAAAAAAGTGATCAGCTAATATTTATGTACTTCATGCTGAGCAGTGTGTTTTGGATATGTTTTTTCCTAACCTCAGTATATAGTTATAAAACTGAAGCTCAGATAGTTGAGTAACTCGCCCAGTGTGGAACAGCAGAGGCATAACTGCTTTTGACCACACCTAAGGCCTATGTTCATTCGGCCATAGCATGTTCTGCTGAACCAGTGCCTCTGTGAGAGAGAGTGTACAGGAAAGTAGACTATAGAATTGAGCAACTAGTTATGTATGTGAGGGAGAGGTACAGATCGGTAGGTTTTCAAATAAATCTTACTGAATTAATGAACATGTAAAAGAAACATCATGGCAAGTTTGCTTGAAGTCACTGTGTATATATTAGTGGTAGAAAAAAAATCTTTGTTCTAAGTATTTTTTAAAAGAGCAATTACAACTATTGATCAAGAATGCTCATTATGCAGCAGTGGCAAACATTTATTTAACAGTGCCAAGCACTATTCTTGGTACTTAATGACTGTAATATATATATTTTCCATTTTCTCACTTCATTCTTATAACTACTCTGTGAATGGCATAGACTAGAGGAAACTGCAGTGCAGAGTAGCTAAGTATCTCTTTTCATTTCATGCAGCTTAATGTCAACATAAGAAATGTCCAAACCTGTAAGGATTTTTGAGTTCAAATTGACGACAGTTTCAGGAAGTAAAATCCCAGTGAATTGAGAAAATGCTCTAGAGAATGGCAGTTTTGCGCCTTATTTTATACATTAGAATCAAAGGAGGGAGGCATAAAGAGGGTTACGTGAAATTCATTGGTGGTAGATTGGGGAGGCAGGAGAAAGCAAAGTGGTGAAATCTCTGAGATTGGATAAAAAGTAAAAGGAGTAGACACATACTTCTTTACAGTGTTGAGTATAAGATAGTTAACAATTAACATTTAGCAGCACATAGAGATGGTATGCCAAGAACATGATAACAGTGAGGGTCTCTGTGGTCTTCTGTTCCGGTGGGAGATTGTGCCCTGAGGGACCTGGGAAAGGAGGCTTACTCTGACATTCCAAAGGCATGTTATCGTAGATGCAAAAAGACAATAGACAGGCTCAGTTAAGGTAAAGATTGGCCTTTGTCAAGGAAGCTATAGGCCTAGGACATGACTATCTGCCATGACTTATTTTTAGTTAGGAAGTTTTCATTTCAGACCATCCTATGTGGTTACTTTAGGTCTCTAAGTTTGTAAGGCCCACCATGCAGGCCTCCCCTGAGCTTGTCAGGGTTAGTGTATGGCCCCTTTTCCGTCCACGTTAATAAATAGCAGAGCTGAGATTTGACCCGCAGTAGCCTGATTCCATATAACCGGCATATTTGATCATTGTAATATACTGCCTTATATACTACACTTAACAGAATCTTGAGTGAGGTAATAAATGTGAGATGATTTGGAAGTTTATTTATTACGTTTCACAGTAGCTCTGAAAGGTAATTTACCTCACTGATAAGTGAAACTGAGACTGAGAATGTAATCCAAAGACTCTTGTCTGTGATAGAGTTTGTGAGGGAGCCATGCTCTGCATCTCATTCAGGAGAATGAGGACTCAGAATAAGCTCTGAATGTTCACCACCCAAAGTCACCTCT